ATGATTCTGCTTATTTAACTGGATTCTGTAGTATAAACTGTAGCCTCTCTTCCTGCGCTGTTTCCAGGGTTTCTCCTGTCTTAGGTTTCGTTGCCAATTTTTTCTCTCTCTCACAGTTTCAAAGGCTTCCAGCTATGTCTCTCAGCCCTCTACTGCCATTAGGGTGACCAGACAGCAAGTGTGAAAAATCGGGACGGGGGGTGGGGGGTAATAGGAGCCTATATAAGAAAAAGACCCAAAAATCGGGACTGTCCCTATAAAATCGGGACATCTGGTCATCCTAACTGCCATGTCCTTCTCCCCACCGCTCCTATCTTTATCTCAGGGCTAGTCTACACTACCTGCCTGGATCGGCGGGTAGAAATCGATCTCTTGGTGATCGATTTATCGCGTCTCATCTAGACGGATAAATGGATCCCCGAATTGACGCGTGTACTCCCACCTCGTCAGGAGGAGTAAGCGCCGTCGACGAGGGAGCCGCGGTGGTCGATTTGCCGCCGTCCTCACAGCGGGGTAAGTCCAATAGGATATGTCGAATTCAGCTTCGCTATTCGCATAGCTGAATTTGCGTATCTTAAATCGATCCCCCCCACCCCCCCAGTGCAGACCTAGCCTCAGCCTCGTGCCCGCCGTCTGCTGCCATGTTATAATCTCTGTCCTAACAGAAATGAATGTGAAGAAAGGCTGCATTTTTATCAGGAAATTTCAACCTGCAAAACATTTCTGGAAGTCGGGATTTATTCAGGGGCAGGGTTTTCTACACCTTCCTCGAAGCATCGGGTGCCAGCCACTGTTGAAGAGAGGAGACAGGGCTAGCTGGATCGCTGGTCTGATCCACTCTGGCAGTGCTTACATTCCTACATCAAGCTGTTCAGGAGATCTCTAACCCTTATGCTCCAATGTCCAGAGTCTTCAAAAGGAAGGAAGGTCCTGGAGTATTGACCTCAATAGGGGGCTACTTTCCTGTGTGAGCGCCTAGCTCTGTAGTTATTTATTTGCAGAGTTGAACCCTTCCCCAATCCAGTCCGAAGTTTCAATCAGCATTAGCTGCATTGGTGCAAGCTACTTTTGAAGCTGGTGCAGCAAATCTACAATGGGGGGGGGGGAGTTGCAATGGGGCGGCTACATCAGCCTAGCTAAAATGGTCCCAAAATCCCCAGCGTAGCCACATCCACAGAAAACCCAGGGTCTTTTGAATACCTGATTCCAAGCTACATAGGTCTAGGAATCTGCTCAGGAAAAAAACAGTTTTTTTTTAAACTGCGTGTCCTCAAAAAAATTCCAAGGCACCCGGCAAGCCAAAAGTAAGCGCCATGCCAGGGATGTTAAATACCCAACCTACGTCAGCAAGGAACTTGCTCTTAATCAACAATCCACCTGAAATACCTCAGGGAAAAGACAAAAATCTGTGGAAACATGTTATGGCAGACTGAAGCCATCTTGGAGAATACCTGTCATGCAAAGAGCACGCCGGAAGAGAGACAGCTACGTCTGTCCGTTTCAAAAGCCACTGGTTAACTTAAAAGTATCCCTTTTGATCCTAGCATAACAAAACACACTAGCTTTAGTAAGCAAATGTTCAATATTCAGTTTTCAATTAGCCTGTTTGGAAAGGTGGTCGGCACCAGTAATTTTCCACTTTATGACATGCTTTATAATAAATAATTTTAAAATAATCATAAATAGCATTAGCATTAGATCATCTGGGCTTGAAAATGAACCTTAGTTTTGAGTACAGTACACAAAATAGGTTTTGCTATGGTACATCCCTAAAGCGATGTCTATGTTCCTCTTTTGCCATAATTAAATTATTGCTCATAAGAACTTTTGCTTGGTCAAAAAAAGAGCATGCAAAAATTAAAATAATTCCATTTCACTGTTTTCCATGAGCCCTTAGCCAAGTTGGCCAATAAGTAAGGCAAAAAAAGGTATGTATTGTGTACTCACTTAAAACTTGGCTAGAAACAACCTTTTATTGTCTAATTTTTTTTTCCATGCCCAACTTGGCTACTCCAAACTAATCCATTGCCAAGTTTCTATAGTGTGTTATTTTCCTATGTGTTATGTGTTTAAAAACATACAAAAGGCTGCCCCCAAAATATTCTACAACCGTTCTGCACAGACAAAAGTAGAGAAGGTTGGATTAGTCTTGCCACAATCAACACCAGTTATCCAAATGCTGGTGTTAAAAACTAGCTACATATTGCTTTCTTTTCTCCTTCCACTACCATTGGAAGATCTGTAAATGTACAATTCTAATAAATACATCTGAGTCTCTAAGCCCCCCTTCCAGCCACAGTGGAGCCAGCCACATGATGTTACTATAAACCTCACTTGTCAGATTGTAGGGACACTGGGATATGGCTGTAGGAATGCTGCGTGCAGCGAGTGCTGCTGCATTGTTCAACGTGGTGGCATTTGTCGGAATAACTCGTGGGAAGCCATAGTCTTGTCTGCATGACACTCCATGATACAGGCTCTGTTCCATATCTCTCTGGATCCCTGTAACATGCTGTGTGTTATGTATGCACATAGCTATGGCTACTTAATGAAAACAGGGCAGTGATTGGGTCATACTTGAAATCAATCTAAAAAAAAAAAAAAGTAAAAAAAAAATCCTGTAATTTTGCCTCTTATATAACGCCTTATGTCAATGATCTTTCATCACAGTAAACTAACAAATCCAAGCCCCTGTATCTTGAGAGATATTACGCACTTACAATTCTGGTTTCTTAAATGGGTACGTGTAGGTCACCTAAGAGCTTCGTAGGAAGGAAGAGAGAGAAGAAAGGAGTCAAGGACCTACACAAACAGTCGATCAAGCATATACTCCCTATCCCCGTGGTCAGATGGCAGTCCCTTAATTAAAGATGGTCCCTAAGTTAGTCCCTAACTTCCACTCACTAGCCTGAGGTGCTGGAGATTGATGACAACACTTAACTGTTTGCTAGCGGCTGGTGAACCTCCAGAAGTTTCAGGGTGTGGTTTCAGGAATGTTCAGCCATCTATCCCAACTTGGGCAAATCTTTGGAGACCGTTGAGATTTCACATCCAGTTCTGCAGGCTTGAGGATTTTGGACAATTGAGAAAGGGGATGGCAAAGCAGCCAGACATGTGGGTGTTTAGCCAAACCTCTAAACTTTATGAACATCAGTGATTACTCATTTTAAAAAAGCCAGTGGTACCAGGGCTTCAGAGAACTGAGGACAATTTCTCTCGGGTCTACCATTCCTGGTGCCTCTCTACGGGTCCAAACCTTTGGAAGTCAATGGGAAGACTTGCATTGGCTTTGGCTCAGGCCCTATCTCTCTGCAGCTTGAAGATTACACAGGAGGCAAGAATCATGAGGCTGAGAGGGATTTAAGATTTAGATTGAAATTAGATCCCCAGGGTATAGAATCTGAGTAACACCTTCATCCCCTCCTGAGTCTTCCAGGCCTGACCTTTCACAAGCACCATTTCCTGACCAGTGACTCCAAAGAAAATAGAACTCCTCCTTGGCATTTAATGGAAATCTGCACACAACTTGTCCAAATACACCACCGGGCCTGTCAGATGCCTGGGACAAGACCTCTACAGCAGTTTCCAGAAACCCAGCTCAATTACTTACATTTTAAATTATCTTTAATTGTCACATGTGAGCTACAGAAACATTCCCCCCCTCCTCTGAACCAAGACCTTGCTATTAAGAGTCACCCCATAATTGCAGCTTTAATAAGTGTACTGTAGCAGGTCAACAGCGAAGGTTAGCCCAGGGTGAAGCTAGGTGAAACCAACTGCTTAATATGAGTAAGTGAAAGTGACACACCACAATAGTCTGATCAATTACGTATGGGTAGTTTGGATTGTAAACTTTTTAGTGAATGTAATTACGTAACCAGATGTGTTAATTCAGTCTCCCCTCCTCACCCCTTCATTGCCTTAGAATACTCATTTTTTCCTATTTCTTAATGTCAGAAAATCACCTTAACTACAGTATCTATCTTCACAGCCCGCAAGGTTTTCATAGGAGCTGAGCACTGATTTGATACTGCACTGTCCTAGGTTACAGAAGCATTACCACCCCCAGCTTTTATTTTAGTCCATTTTTCCATAGTTCCAGAAGGGATATCCCTCTTGGTGCTGATAGCGTACAGGTTAAGGAAAAATGTTAAGGGGAAAAGCCTGCAGATCTTACTCGGGCAAAATTCACATTGCAGACAATTGCGGGCCCTTACTAGGTTGGAAGGGTGAGGAAAAGATCATAATCTTGTGTGTGTGTGTGTGTTCCACCCATGCGCTGCGGGTGTGGGATAAGTACATTGAACAAAACACTTGTTCACAGAACGAACAAAAACATTAATTAATGAAGGAGTCATTAAGAACTCACAAGAGGATTATTAAAAATTTATGAGATCAGCTGGTGTAAATGAACATCCCTCCACTGAGGCTCTGAATGATGAGGTCACTTTAAGCAATACCTCTGACACACTGCAGCAAATCTTCAAAAGCTGCCTGTAAATTGGCACCCATACTTTTGCACACCCGAAACCTTGAATGCATAGGGGCAAACGGTGTCATTGAGCATTCCTGATTTGCACGCATACATGCGGTCAGGTTTTTAGCCTGAGAAAATAATTGCACTGGCAGTTTAGGGGGCAGGATGTGAGCAATTGTGTCCCATCTGTGCATGTGATGGTGCCTTCTTTTGGCTGTACCTTAGTGAAAGTAAAGACCCTTCTACTACCGCCAGCAGAAGGAGATCTTTTCATTCAAAGGGTTGTGTTTCAGGAGCTGATGGAAAATAGTTATGTGTAGGTGATTTATCTAGCACTTCTTTGCATTGTCTGCAGCTCATGGAAAATCTGGCCTTTTATCTTTGGCCAGATTTTTTTTTAAACTGGACTCTCAAGATTTTCCTTTATTGGAGCCGGGGTTGAATAATCTTATGTTCCTTATTTTCTCCAGTTTATCACATTAATGACTGCCTTTCTCTCTCCCTCCCTTTCCCCATCTCGCAGAATGCTCGGACTTGTACCAAACATAACGTTAGTCACACACCCTTGGGATAGAAACATGCAGAGAAAACAATGAAACAAGACTGTTTATAAAGCCGTCAACACATTAGCCAGTGGAGAGGAGCCCAAGTTTCCATGTAAAGTCCTGAATGGACGCAAGTGACATGAGACACATGGAAAATGTGGAGCAAGGAATAAAATTATAAATAAAACAAATACAATAAATTGGGAATGCCATTTTAGTCATAATGATTTGTGTTCCTAGTAACCCAAAACTCCCCTGCCTATGGAAAATGGCATGTTTTTCCAGTGGGACAACCAGGTGGAGGGGAGGGGTTGCAAAAATGCAGTGGGAGGAGGTATCGGTTCATAGCTAGAGAAGTAGGACTGGAACTCAGGACTTCAAACTGCTAGCCCTGACTCTACCAATGGCCCTGCAGTACAATCTTAGGAAAGTCACTCACTCACTCACACTTAAGCAGTACACGAGTCTTGTGTTGGCTCTTTGACCAGGAACGGCTTTTTCTCGCTGCGCTTTGTTTACACTAGTGAAATGTGCAGTGGTGTAACCGTGTCGATACACCTCTCATGGAGGCACACGGCTCCTGTGCAAACTGGCGCTTGCACCAGGGTGACTTACTGGGATGGGTGGTGCTGGTGCTAGCTCTGTCTCGCCTTGCACCTACATGGGGTGGGGGAGGGTTGAACTGCTGACGCACTGATGGACTAGGGCTCAGTTGCACAGCGAAGCTCACTCAAAATGGGGAAATTTAGCTCACACCAGAGGGGTCGGTTCACATCATGAACTTTTGGTGAGGTTCTATGAGACCTTATGATGAAGTTGCCGTGTAATTACAAATTGTTATGATCTTTATTAGCTCTCAGCTCCAGAGATATGGGTTTGAACACTGACTTGAGTTACTGACGAAAGAGGAAGCCTCTTTTCCATTGGTCTCCTTTACCCTACTGGTCTGACTGACAAGCTGAGCGAATACAAAAGGACTATCAAACACACGGCACATTCTTAGCTTGATATCCATTCCTATTATTAATTTCTGTATTACATTGGCCCTGACGAGCCCCAACTGAGATCAGTGACCCATAGTGCTCAGCCCTGTACAGACAGATAGTAAAACATAGATCCCACCCAATAAGGAAGACCTTACTGTCTAAATAGACAAGACAAAGGATGGGAAGGGACACAGGGACAGAGCAGTAAAGCTGAGTGAATAATTGATTTTTCAGTTCAGGGGCCGAAACAAAAAAATCCTCCCAATGTTTTGGTTTGGTTCATTTTTTTCCTTGGGTTTTTCATTTAATTTCATTTTGTTTCTGGGTGTTTTATTATCTCCCCCTCGTTTTAATAGATGTAACTGCATGGGCTTAAATTGCAGCAAGGGAGATCTACATTAAGACATTAGGAAAAAACTGTAAGGATAGTTAAGCCCTGGAACAAATTACCTTGGGAGGCTGTGGCATCTCCATCACTGGAGGTTTTTTAAGAACAGGTTGGACAAACATCTGTCAGGGATGGGCTAGATAATACTTAGTCTTGCCTCAGTGCAGGGGACTAGACTAGATGACCTGTTGAGGCCCCTTCCAGTCCTATAATTCTGTGCTTTCTAAACAAAACGTCATTTTGAAACAAAGAGTCAAAATGTTCTCATAGACTTTAAGGTCAGCAGGGACCATTGTGATCATCTAGTCTGACCTCCTGCACATTGCAGGCCACAGAACCTCACCCACTGACTCCTGGAATAGACCCCTAATCTCGGCTGAGTTGCTGAAATCCTCAAGTCATGGTTTAGAGACTTCATGTTACAGAGACTTCACTGTTTACTCTAGTTTAACCCCTCAAGTGACCGGTGCCTCATGCTGCAGAGGAAGGCGAAAAATAGTTGAAACAAACCATTAAGAACTTTTTAAAAAAAGTTTTAATCTGTTATTTGCCAAATTCAACCCAAATTCATGAGTATTTTTTGGTGCCCCCCCCCCCCCCCCTCAAACTGCACTTTGGTGAATTTACTATTCGCTGAAAAAACTCCAACCGGCTCTACAGGGAAGTAAAGTTACTAGCCAAGGTTACACAACCAATCAGTAGCAGAGGCAGGAACAGACCCAGTGTTTCCATACCCACAGTTCAGTGCTCTATCTGGTACACCACACTGCCACCCAAAGACATTGGCACACTTTGCAGAGATTAAATCTGAAAGCGCAAGAGGCAGCCCCCCTTACAGTATGTGAACGCCTTGTAAAAGTTTCCTTTGAAACAACTGTGATGAGTCAGTTCGCTATGTTTGCAAGAAAAAAAAAGTGCTAGCAATGCGTGAACTGCGGCTGTTCTTTAAGGTAAGGGATCTGAATTTCCATTTCTCGAAGCCATTAGCGCTGCTGTTGTTCCGAACGGATTAGCCAGCGCATGGCGAAAAAGCCAGTCGGTCTGCCAGGATTTAAAGCTGTTTCTGCGTTAGTCAGACTCTGCCAGTGAAGTAATATCGTGTCCTTTGTTTATTATATTGAAACTCGATAAAAGAAAATGTCGGGGGGAGGGGGGGAGAATGGTTGCAGTGTGAAATGAGTGTTCACGTCTGGGTTCCAGGATGCAGCCATGAGTAACGTCTGCAGCATCACTGAGCGTCCTACTGCTAAACTAGTCATTGTGCTGCAAACAGAACCCAAGAGTTGATAGGAGAGGATAGTCTGACCGGACCCAGATATACCGAGAAATACTAAATTGACTACGGGGACCCAGTAGGGAGAGCTAAGGATCCACAGAAAAAAAGGTATAGCTGCACAGAATTAGCATTTCTTCATCTTTTGTTACAAGCTGAACAATGGGCCCCTTTTTGTTTTAGCATCCATGACCCCCATTGTGTTAATTATTTTTGGCTCATACCCAAGCCTGTTACAATGCAGATGAACCCATTTTCCAGTAAGCCTGTGCCCGATCCAGGTGGAAGACCCTTTTCAAAACAGACCTTTCTAGATTTGGCATGTTTTCAATGTGACGTGGTCAAATCTGGATGGAAAAGCAACATTGGATAGGCACAACATGACCTTAAACAGAAAGGCCAACAAAAGGTGCCCGGAAAAGTGGCTCGGAATAAAATAAGATTAAAATATTCCTTAGATCATAAGTGTTTTGGGGGCAGGGTCCTATTTTTGGTCTGTGTTTGTGCAGCTCCAAGCACAAGGAGGTCTTGCTTAGGCTGAGGCTCTGCTGCTACACTGATTGGCCAGACCCTGCAGAAGTCAGCTGTTGCTGCTAGAATGGATGATATTAACAAACAAACACAGTGAAGCAAGCCTAGGGTAATTAGCATGGTGCCTTCAGTCCAGTGGCCAGAGATGGAACTCGAATTGCACCATAAGTTGCCAATTAGGCAGGATCACAGGGCCTTGAAACATACTCGGCCCCAAGTAGTCTTCTGCACTGCTTATGCCAAGGGCTAATCCGGCATCGACAATACTGCCAACCCCAAACATATCATACCTCAGAAAACATATCAGGCTCCTGAAAATGATGAGATTGGCTTAACCTCACCCCCCCCTCACAATGTGAGATTGTATTAAAAATACATTTGGGGGTCTTTATATTTGTCTTCTGTTCAAATCATTATGAGTAAATCTGCATTTCCAATGTATTGTATTTTGTTCATTTTCAAGCTTCACTCTACAACAGCGAGAGCTAGAAGCGTCCTCTCTTTTTTTTAATGAAAGCTGAGATTCTCATATAGTCAAATGATTCCTGGAGCTGGAGCTTTAAGAAAGCCACCACATATCATAAGACTCACAAGAGATGACAACACTGCCCATGCTGCATAAGGACCGTTGCTCTTGTCTTTCTGGTAATGAACCCAGCTTGTGTTGGCCACCGATCTCTTCTCTCCTACGTCGCTGGGTCTGATTCCATAAATCCTTTTCATCGCAGGGCATCGGTTGCAGCTAATGAAACGGACGCCCCATTTATTTAATAAGGAAAAGAAGCCCCCTTCCCAAAGACTTTCCCCTGGCACCAAACAGCTGTCGATGGAGTTTGAGAGTGCTGAGTGTTTCATGTGCTACATAGGAAGGGGCACTCCTATGGGTTAAAGGAGAAAACAATCTCCCCTTTTGTTGCTTGCCAGTGAAGTGAAGATGAAATGCTAGTCAGGGACCGTGAAGGAACACACACACACACACTCTCTCTCTCTCTCTCTCTCTCCCAGCAAGTCAGCATGATCCAGGTCAGTCCGATTTATCAGGAGACTTATTAGCTTTTCCCGTGTTAATGGAGCCCGGGGTAGAGAGGAGAGAATGGGGAGGGGTTTGCTCACCGAGGGGCGGAGTGGTGCGAGTGGCAGCAATGCCTGACAGTTAAAAGCCCTGTCGTGTGCTTTTGCCACTAGGTTTTGGGGGGAGAAGCCCATGAACCAAGCCAAAATGCAGCACTTAACACTGCAAAATAACCTTTGCACAGCACATTGCAATGTCAGATGGTTTAGGGGTTGTTAGGAGGGAAAGAAGGGGGCTGGGGGGCGGCGGGGTTAAAGAAAAAGTTATCTCACTGTTTTGTTTAGAAAGGAAGGACAAAATCATATTTCCACCTGACTCTTTAAATCGGTCGAGCTGGGTGGGTTCCGCCTGTTATTACAACCCCCACCCCCACCAGGTCTACATAGAAACGTTACCACTATAATAATGTCGGTTGGGTGTGATTTTTGATGACGATCTTTATACCATTGAAAGCCCTAATGTAGACACAATTCCACAGGCATCAAAGTGCTTTTGCTGCTATAGCTTATTTTGCTTGGGGAACCAGTGTATGTAATCTGGCAAAAGCATTTTATTGTTGGAGTAAACTGTGTCTACACGAATAATAATAAGCCCTAGCTCACATACAGTGCTTTTCATCCATAGATCTCAAAGCACTTTACAAAGGAGTGCAGTATCATTATCCCCGTCTTACAGTTGGGGAAACTGAGGCACAGGGCAGGGACGTGACTTGCCCGAGTTCACTCATCAAGTGGCAGAGCCCGGAATAGAAGTCAAGTCTCCAGTCTGGTGCTCTGGCCACTAGGGAACAGGCCTCTACTGCAATTATACCTGCAATAGTAGAGACAAAACCTTAGTCTGCTATGGTGAAACTCACCCCTGTTCAGCAGAATTTAACTGGCTTCGAGGCCGGTGCTAAATCTCTTCAAAGGGGCGACCACGCCCCTAAAGAGAATCTTGATGTATTTCTGAAAGCCC